AATTGTAAACTGTTTGGGTGAGTGTTGAAGGTGTGTCACAATATGCACGAGAGAGCCCCTCAGCTAAGAGTGGGACACTTTTTGGCTTCAGGCATTCAGGGAAATCTGTCCAATCATTAAGGACTTTAGTGGTCACATAAAACCAAATACAGGCTTTACAGAATTAGTTCAGGAAAGTACCTAAACAGTAACAACAGCAGTATCAAACACTGGAGAGGAAAGAGAGAGAATCCAATTTCCAGAGTTGCTACATTGTATTATTTTAAATGTCTGGTTTTCAATACAAAATTACAAGACATGCAAAGAAATAAGAAAATATGGCCCATACACAGGAAAAAAAATCAATAGAAAATGTCCCGGAGGAAGCCCAGACATGAGACTTAAAAAGCAAAGACTTTAAACCACACTTTGAAATATGTTCTAGGAAGAAAGCAATGTCTTAAGAACTAAAAAAAAAAATATGAGAACAATGTCTTACCAAATAGAGACTATCAATAAATTGTGAAAAAGAATCAAATAGAAATTCTGTAGTTGAAAAGTGTAATAATTGAAAAGTTCATGTAAGGGCTCAAGAGCAGAACTGTGAAGATAGATCCATTGTGATTACCCAGTGTGAGGAACAGAAAGAAGAATAAAGAAACATTAAGAGAGGGGTGTCTGGGTGGCTCAGTCAGTTGGGCATCTGACTCTTGATTTCAGCTCAGGTTAAGATCTCAGGGTCATGAGATTGAGCCCCACATCAGGCTCTGCACTCAGAGGGGAGTCTGCTTGATATTCTCTTCCTCTCTCTCTCTCTACCCCTCCCCCCACACCCATGTTCTCTTCTTCTCTCTCTCTCTTTAAAATAAAATAAATAAATCTTTTTAAAAAAGAAAAGAAACACGAAGAGAGACTGAGGAACCTGTGGGATGCCATCAAGTATATCATCATAGACATGGGAGTCCCAGGAGAGGAGAAAGAAAAAGGGACAAAAGAATATATGAAGATTTAATAGCTGAAAACTTCCCAGATTTGATTTTAAAAAAAGTAATCTACTCTTCCAAGAAACTTAAACTCCACGTAGGATATACTTGAAGAAATCTACACCCAGACACATCATAATCAAACTGTTGAAAGTCAAACAGAATGTTAAAAGCATCAAGAGAGAAGAGACTCTTCACATACAAGAAATCCTCAATGAAAGTAACAACTGAGGGATGCCTGGGTGGTTCAGTTGGTTGAGCATCCAAATTTTGACTTTGGCTCAGGACGTGAACTTACGGTTGTGAGATCAAGCCCTGCGTAGGGCTCTGTGTTGGGCGTGGAGCCTGCTTAAGATTCTCTCTGGCCCTCTCCCTCTGCCCCCTCCCCTAAAAGTAACAGCTGATTTCACATCAGAAGCCATGGGAGCCAAAGGGCCATGGGTTGACATTCAGAGTGCTGAAAGAAAGATTATCAGCTAAGAGTTCTATATACCGCAAACCTATCCTTCAAAAATGGAGAAGAAAAGGAAAACTCTTTAGGTGCAAATGATATGATCTTGTATATAGAAAATCCTAAGGAATTCACTAAAAAAACTATTAGAACTAATAGATTAGTAAGCTGGTATGATACATTAATATACAAAATCCAATTGTATTCTATAGACTTTTGGTAAATATTCCAAATATGAAAACAATTCCATTTACAATAGCATCAAAAAGAATAACAGGAATAAATTTAACAGAAGTAGCATAAAACTTATAATCTGAAATACAAACACTGTTGAAAGAAATTAAATCTAAAAAAATGGAAGACCTCCGTGGATCAGATCTTAATATTGTTAAGATGAGAATGCTCCCCAAATTGGTGTATAGATTCAGCTCAGTCTGCACCAAATTTCCAGTTGGCTGCTCTGCAGAATATTGACCAACTGATTCTAATATTCATACATGAATTTAAGGGACTCAGAATAGCCAAAACAATCCTAAAAAAAAAAAAAAAAATTAGAGGACTCACACTTCCCAATTTCAAATCTTACTACAAAGCTATAGTAATCAAGACATTGTGGTACTGGCAGAAGGGGATAGACTTACAGATCAGTGTAATAGAATTGAGAGCTCAGAAATAAACCCTCATATTTATAGACAGTTGATTTTCAACAAGGGTACCATTCAGTGGGGAAGGAATAGTCTTTTCCATATCTGCATGAAAAGCATGAATTTGGACCCCTACCTCATACTATATACAAAATGGATCGAAGAACAAAGTATAAAACTCTTCAAAGAAAATGTTGGCATTAATTTTCATGACCTTGGATTAGGCATGGTTTCTTAGATATGACACAAAAAGCACAAGAAACAAAAAAGATAAACTGGACTTCATCAAAAGTAAAAACTTGTGCATCAAAGGCTGCCATTGAGAAAGTGAAAAGACAACCCACAGGGTGGGAGAGTATTTATAAATCATATATCTGTTAAGGGACCTTTATCTAGAATATATAAAGAACTCTTAACATCTCAATAATTAAAAGACAGCGCCATTTTTTAGATGGGCAAAGGATGTGAACAGACGTTTCTCCAAAGAGGATACATAAATGGCCAAAAAGCACATGAAAGATGCTTAACATTCTTAGTCATTAGGGAAATGTAAATCAAAACCGCAGTGAGATACTATTTCACGCTAGGATGGTTATAATTTTTTTTAAAGGAAAATAACAAATGTTGAGAAGGATGTGGAGAAACGGAAACCTTCACATGTTGCTGGTGAGAATGTAAAATGACAGCCACTATAGAGAACAGTTTGACAGGGACGCCTGGGTGGCTCGGTCAGTTACGCGTCTGCCTTCTGCTCAGGACATGATCCCAGGGGCCTGGAATTGCGCCCCACATCAGGCTCCTTGCTCCACAGGGAGTCTGCTTGTCCCTCTGCCCCTCCCCCTGCTCGTGCTCCCTCTTGCTCTCTCTCAATAAATAAGTAAAATCCTTAAAAAAAAAACATTTTGACAGTTCCTCAAAAAATTAACTACAAAATTAACATAAGAACCAGCACTTCCACTCCTAAGTATATACCCAAAGAAATTGAAACAGTATTAAAATAAATACTTGTACAGGAGTGTTCATAGCAACAGGGTTCATAATGGCCAAAAAGTAGAAACAATCTCAATGTCCATCAACTGATGATAAATAAAATGTGGTATGTTCATACAATGGAATATTATTCAGCCATAAAGGAGAATGAAGTATGATATACACTGCAATGTAGGTGAACCTCAAAAACACCATGTTAAGTGAAAGAAGCCAGATTTATAAAAGATCACATATTGTATGACTATATATCAAACATCCAAAATAGGCAAATCTATAGAGACAGAAAGCAGATTAGTGGTTGCCAGGGGTTGGGGACAGCGGGAAGTGCAGAGGTGTTTACCTAAGAGAAATGAAAACATGCTCATAAAAAGACTTGTATAATAGTCACAGCCTGTTTTATTCATAGTAATCCAGAAACAGCTCTTGTGTCCAACAAGAGGTAAGAGATAAGTAAAGTGTGATACTCATACGATGGGATATTACTTAGTATAAAAAGAAACCTATCAGTGATGGGATAGGAGGGAGACTGACTGCAAAGGGGCATGAGGGAACTTTCTAGGGGATAGAAATGCCCGTTTTGATTGAAGTGTTGGGTACTTAAGGTATACCCTTGTCTAAACTCATTGAACTATACACTTAAAATCTGTACATTATACCTCAACAAAGTTGATTTTTTTTTTTTTTTTTTTAAAGGGCAGCAGACTCCACAGCTCAGGGCTCCTCTGACCTGGAGGTCATTCTACTTTATGTGGCTGCCAAGACCCCAAACTTCATATGAGACTTCATAATCCACATCACTCACATGTATAGTGTGAATCAGAGTAAAAACAATAGGGGACAGAGTCTGTGTCATCCTTAATCATTCTCTAATGTGGACCAGACACTGTGGTTTGATGTAGCTCAACTGTAAAGGCAAAATTGGACATAGATTTTAGTGGTGTCCGTGGGGTGGAGTACTCTGGATAGTGTAATCAAACAGCAGAAAGGAGTTTTGCAGCTCTTTTGGCAGACTGGATTGGAGAAAGAATGGACAAGAGTTATTAGCCATTGTCCTCCTGAACGGGTAGACTTTGTTCACGAGAAATAAAAGATCTGTGTTAGCCTTTGTGGGGAGGATAAGGGATGGTTGGTACTATATTTTAGATCAGAGGTCAGCAAACTGACCCCTAGGCCAAATCTAGCCTGTGGCCTGTTTTTATACATTCTGTGAATTAAAGATGTTTTTCACATTTTTAAAGAGTTATAAACAACAAAAGTAGATAATTTGTGACAGAGAGCATACATGGTCTGCAAAACCTTACAGAAAGTTTGCTGACCTCTGTTAATCTACGATTCTGAGGGTAAGAGCAGAATCAACTGGTTTGGGGCAGATTTGCAAGAAAAGGAAATCTAAATTTTATTTCTGCCAGATTAAGTAGACTGATGATGTTTTTCTATCATGGATTATAATTGGGCAAAGGGCAGAGCCTCTGATAAGTTCTTGCCCTGGGTTTTTCCAGTGTTTCCTATACTCCAGCCATCCCAGAGAAGTTGAAATACCTCATAGATCCTGATGTCAGTCCCTCTACCTAGAATGCCCTTTCTCCTTCATCTGGTGGAATGTTCCATGTCCACCTAAACCCACCTCAGTGGGGCACAATCCATCACTCCTGTATTTTATAGCACTGGCTTCACATTGGCAGGGTAACACATAACGGACATTTCATTGTTTGTCCCCCTTAGTAGACTGTGAGCTCCGTGGGTATGGGAACTATACATTTTAAATTTCTGCTGCCACCAGTCCTGGCACCAGACGTGCACTCTTAAAATATTAATTGAACTGAATCAGGCCGCTGGTATTGCTCGACACAGGAACCTGGGTTGGACAGATACTGGAGATAGTAAGCAGCAGGCTGGGGTGACAGAAGAGGAAACAAGCCCCCTAGAGCTGATGGGTCTGAATTTCATTTTTAGAGAACTGAGCAGAGGGATATCAGGAAAGCAAAGTTGAAAGAAAAGAAGGAGCAGAATCAGAACGAGGCTTTACTCCAGGCCATCAAGGTGAGTTCTCAGACCTCAGGCCCATATGATCTTGCTAATCCTCAAGCTTGTTGGGAAACTGTCTTGGGATGCTTTACCTGAATGAATTTGTTCATTTTCTCTTTGCTTTGGTGAAGCATTGTGCTAAAGGGGCTCTGGAGTCCAGACCCCTGAGTTCAGTCCACTTTCCTGCTTGTGTACATATGTTGATCTCAGGTAAGCTACACTGGATAGTTGCTGTGGGTTGAGCATTATTTAATCTTCACAGTGGCCTTCTGAGGTAGATCTTCTAGCTACTGATTTGCTAGATGGTGATGTGGTCTCAGGGAGGTGAAGAAACCTCACACAGCTAATGTGTATCAGAGCCAGGTCCTTGCTCTTAGCCACTGCATCCTGAAAAAATCTGAATTTTTAGGATGTTGCTCCTTTAGCAACAACAAAAATTTGACCCTGTCCTTTCTTCCCTGCATTTTAAATGGATGTAGCCTGAGCCAATTCTTATTTTTTTACCTGGATACTGAATACCCAGCAAGTCACCTGTGGAGCTTTGGCTTGCTTGGTCTCCACAAGGGAAATGACACCTGCCATGAGATTGTGGAGTAGGTTCTTGGTTTCATTCTTTGTTGAGTTAAATTATGCACCATTTAAGTTACTTGTTGACTTTGAGAACTTCACACTACTAAGATGCACTCCACTAGTCCCTCCCCATAACAAGCAATCTGTTAACAGGAGTGGGACGGAATACTCCAGATTCTCTTGCTAATTCTCATTCACAGTGAGAGATTTAGTCACATTCTAAAATGTAGAATATTGGAATGCCCATTCGCATACAGATCTGATTTTGGCGCTCTCCTTTAGTTTGACCCTGCATCTCAAGCTTCATTGTACATAAGAATTACTCTAATAGTCATATACACAGAACCATATTTTACCGATGGTTTAAAGCAGGAGCCAGTGGATCTCAGCCCTGCCTATTTGTTTATGTTACTTATGGCTATTTTCACACTATGGTGGCAGAGTCAAGTAGTTAATTTCACCAGAGACCATTTGGCTCACAAAGCCTAAAATATTTCTATCTGACCCTTTAAGGAAAAGTTTGCCAACCCCTGATTTAGCATTGTCAAATCAAAAGTAATTTTGATTGCATGTAACTTTCCCCTCGTGTGCTAGCCTCCACACACATACATAAAGAGACAACTCTTCTGTTCAGACCTTTGATTTATCTTTATTTCCATGAGACAGTCAAGATTAGGTCAATGTGCATTATTTTTAGTATTCCATGTCCTAGCTAAACCAACACACTTGCCATTTTCGTATATGCTACACTCTTGATCTTATCTGTGCCTTTGCATATTCTGTTCCTTGGTGGTGAATGCCTTTCCATCCTCCCCCGACCCTTCCAACTTCTCTGCCTTTCATAGTCATTGCTCAGGGCCCAGTATTCCCCAGTCATCTCCAGTCCCCAGGCTGAATTAATTATCGATGGTCTGCATTTCTGCAACTCCACTTCTTACCTTATGTTGTACTTATTTCCATAGTTGTTTGCCCACTAGACCATGAGCAGGGTCTTGAGGGCAGGAACCATGTCTAGCTTTTTTCTGTGATACAGGGTCCAGCATGTGTTAGAATCCTGGTGAAGGTGAGTTATCCCTGCTGTGCTAGGCCTCAGGGGTAATGAAGATGAATTGTGTAGAGCTGGCCTCAGGGAGCTCACAGTATGGTGGTTTCCCTGCTGTTGAAATGGGCTTGCATCCTTCCACACAATAAGGTTTGTGTGTATTTCTGTTTTTAATCCAGGTTAGGAACATCAGGCTAGCCTCTGAAGCTGCTGGTCGGGATGAAGATTCAGACTCAGAAGGTCTAGGTGCGCTTTTCCTGGATGGGCTCAGCTCGGAGAACCCCTATGGAGCCAGGCTGAAGGTAGACGAGCAGGGCAGGTTGAGCTGGCCCGTGCTCTTTCTGTACCCGGAGCACGCCCAGTCGGACTTCATCGCTACGTTTCACGAGGACTCCAGGTACTTACTTGCCCAAGAGCCCTCTGTTCTTGCTGGCATGCTCTTTCCTTACTGTCTCAGCAGAGGGACAAGTGGATTTTTGGTTGAGGAGGGAAGAGAATAGAGGATTAACAGTCTGGTTTGGCATAACCTTTCTATCCTGGAGCTGATTTCTCCTTTTACTAACTATAACTAGCTTTGCAATGACAGACACAAGTCTCACCATCATCCTGACTTGGCTAGTAAGCAGAGCACCACAGTATTGTTTGTCAAGCACTGACACATATCTCTGGTGAGATACGAAGTCGTTCTAGGTAGTATATGCATAGTAACTGAAGGGTGTATTAGAAAAAATATAACTAGCAGTTTTAACATGTGATTTCATAGGGTTAATGCTTAGAATGTGGCTAAATGTAAGGAATGTTAAGCCTGAATCAGTTTAAAGAAAATTACTATGTCATAATAGGACAAGTAATACACATTCATTTTGGCTTAAGTCAGATGGTTTTGGCTCAAAATGGCTTAGGCCTGCATTTCATGTTTTGTACATTTTTGATAGCTCTCTGAATGGGTGTCCAGGGACTGTGATGTAGGAAAATAGATCATGAGTTACTGATACCTAGAAAGGACATGTTATATCCTTAGGTTTATTGATCATCTAATGGTGATGTTTGGTGAAACACCCTCTTGGGACTTAGAGCGGAAATACTGCCCTGATAATTTAGAGGTAAGAGATGTTTTACCTTGTTCCTGGATGGGATATTTTTTGCAGGGAGGTGAGGGGAGCAAGTTTTTACTGCCTTAAAAAAAAAAAATTGTGGGCGCCTGGGTGGCTCCGATAGTTAAGCGGCTGTCTCCAGCTCAGGTCATGATCCCAGGGTCCTGGGATTGAGTCCTGCATCGGGCTCCCTGCTTCTTGGGAGCCTGCTTCTCCCTCTGCCTCTCTCTCTCTCTCATGAATAAATAAATAAAATCTTGAGGAAAAAAAGAAAATTGTGTCGGGGCATCTGGGTGGCTTAGTGGGTTAAGTGTCTGCCTTTGGCTCAGGTCATGATCCCAGGGTCCTGGGATAAGGCCCCATGTTGGGCTCCCTGCTCAGCGGGAAGTCTGCTTCTCCATCTCCCTCTCCCCCTGCTTGTGCTTGCACTCTTGTTCTCTCTGTCAAATAAATAAAATCTTTAAAAAATTCAAAAAAAATTTTGTCAAATGATACAGAACGTAAAATTTACTATTTGAACCATTTTTAAGTCCCTGCTTCCGTAGCATTAAGTACATTCACATGCTTGTACAACCATTCCCACCATCCGTCTCCACTTCATCGTCCCGAACTGAAACTCTGCACCCATGGAACAGTAACTTCATTCTCCCCTCCCTCCAGCCCCTGGCAACCACCATTCCACTTGCTCTATGAATGAGCCTACTCTAGGAACCTCATATAAGTGGAACCATATACTGCTTGTCCTTTTGTATCTGGCTTATTTTACTTAGCTTCATGTCTTCAAGTTTCATCCATATTGTAGCCTGTGTCAGAATTTCTTTCCTTTTTAAGGCTGAATAATATTCCATTGTTCCATTGTTGGGACCTTTTTTTTTTCTTTTTTTAAATCACATCTTACAGTACAAAGACTTTCTCTTCTACTAACCATTTGAGAGTAAGATGCCAACTGATGCCCCATTGCCCCTGAATACTTCAGTGTCAGTTTCCTACAAACAAGGATATTTTCCTTCATAATCTCACCCATCAAAATTAGGAAATTAGCTTTGAGGAAAAAAAAAAGGAAATTAGCTTTGATATACTGTACCGTCTAATTCTCAGACACCCTGTATCAGCTGTCCCCACGCAGGGACACCCTTCTCACCTGCATGGGCTCTGACACCTCATCTTGCACAGCCATCCTACCAGGTAACCCTTCTCACCTGGCTTAGGCTGGCCAGCTCCCAGCAAGACTGCCCTCCACTGACCAGGCTCTGGCACCCCTCCCTGCCAGCCTCACCCTGCACGGGCTTGGACACCTGCACAGGGCCACCATCCTTCTCCTCCTCCTCGGGCCCTTCCCCTGCTTTGAGCCACCATAGCTTGCTTCCCCCACATCGAAGGGGTCTAGGACTGAATTGCTAGGGAAGGGAAGACGCGTGGGTCTGGGCTTGAATCTTGGCTCCTGTGTTTGCTAGGTGGGTGTCATTGGTGAGTTATCTCCCTTCTCTGAGCCTTCGTTCTATCTTTGGAAAATGGAGCCCATAGTACCTTTCTTAGTATCACGCGCGAGGACTGAGTGCTTTATATTCCACAACTCTATAAAGGAGTCATTCAACTAATTACAGTTGCCATCTCTTTAGCTTTTCCCTAGACTCGGCCTCAGCGTGCCTGGTGCTGCTGAGACCTTGTATTTGTGTCTGATTCCTGCCCCTCTGTTATTCTTGCAGGTCTACTTTGAGGATGAAGACGGGACAGAACTCTACCGGGTGCCTCTCAAGAGCACCCTACTGCAGGTGCTGCAGCACCCCCGGTGAGTCCACCTTCACGAGGCCGAGCAGACCAGGGAAGGTGCCCAGGCGCCATCCCGGGGATACAGCCAGGGTTTCATTGCACTGCTGATGGATTGCCTTGTACTGCCCTCCCTTCTGCCCTGACACAAAACTGAGATGGCAGCCGTGAAGCCTGGCCCAGGTCATTGGCCAAACAGGCTTCAGTATGACTCAGCCTGTTGTGCTGCAGCCAGGACACCCTCAGACTGGGAGAAGTGAATGGGGCTGGTCTGAGAAGGGAAAAGCTGCCTGACTGTGGGACCTGAAAACAGCAGGGTTGGCACTCCTGTTCCTCTTTGCTTTGTGCCTGTGTCCCCTGATATTGTTACCTGGAAAGAACATCGGTTTGTGAAGTCACACGCCATCATTTACCGGCTGTGTGACTAAGCACATACTGCCTCCCTGGGGAGGTTTCCTCATCTTTCGGGTAGGGGTACTAATCCTTGCCTACATTGTTCTCCGGTGTTTGAGAGCCAGTGAGAGAGCAGGAGTCAAAGTGCTTTTGTAAACTGTAAAGGGCAGTCTTTTTGTAAGAGTGCATCTTTGTTAGTAGCTATGGCAGCCAGCTGGATGTGGCTTTTGTCTCTTTGTTCAGCTTTGGGGTGTTCCTGGACCATAAAGGAATCCCCTCAGTGGATTTGTAAGTTGACTCTTGGACTGTTTTCCCCTAAGCTTTGAGCAAAGCAAATGCTCTTGCGTTTAGGCTAAAGGAGCCCGATGTATTGGGCATGAGGGTGGTTGGGCATGGTAGGAAAGAGGCTGGAGAGCTGGGCTAGGGCCATTCAGGAAAGCCTTGAATGCCCTGCTCAGGAGCATACTTTATCCTGATAGTGGTATATGGAGCCACAGAGAATGTGTAGGTAAAATTTACAGAGTAGTATATAGATTTTATGTGTACTAGTTGATGGTGATGCATGAGGTGAGGGGTGGATTGGCAAAGAGATTTCAGAGGCAGACTGGATGGGAATTGGTGATGTGGTGACTGACCTGGTAGGAAGTCCAGCTGGTCTCTTGATGCTTCTGCTTTGGCTTGTCAGACAGGAGGTGAAGATTTCTTCAGATATGAATGATGACTTCTCTTAGCAGGGTTTTTTTTCTGGCACTAAATCTCCCTTCTAGTTTCTAGACAAATTTTTTCCATTATTTAGCAAATTATTACCATAATTCTTTAAAGGCCTGAGGTCCACTCTCCCCATCTCCAAAAAATGGGGGAGAAGTCTAAACAAAGTAGATCTGTGGAGGAAAGCCAATTTCATGCTTCTCAGAAAATGTAAATGCTATTAGAAATGTTTACTTCTTAAATGACTGGCATAGGTAAGAGGCTACTCAGGACAGGATTCTGGCAACTTCAGACCCTGAACTGAGTGGAGCTAAGATACAGCCCCCGCCCCGCCTCGGTCCAGATCCAGGCACATTGGGTAATGCTAACACTCTTCAGTCTGGGAGGCCAAAGCCTTGCCCACCTCTCCGACCTGCCCCACTCCACTTGCTTTATGCCCCAACAACAGCAAATGCTCTGGTGCTCTGCACTTCCTCGCTTTTGCTCCCCCCGTGCCTCATCACTACCCCTCTTCTAAATTAAAGTCAAGATGGACAAGGCATCTTCCAGGAAGCTTTTCTTGATTCCCCTTTCCTAGAGAGGGAATCATGCCCTTTGGACTAACGCTGTACCTCACAAATGCTTCTACAGTTGTTTTTGCTGTCATTAATTGATTACTTATCTCCCTCCCCTCAGGACTTGAAAGCAGGGATGATGGGTTTTGTTTTTAGCACAGGGCCCAAGTTACCCTGGGCATGCACTGTTGAATGAAGGAATGAATGCATGAAAGCAAGCAAGCATGTTCTCATAGTTTGATTTCCTGTTTAGCCACAGGCATACATGATGCTAGAGGACTGGCCCAAATGTTCTGGCTAGGTTATAGAGGGGAGAGGATCATGCTAATTTGCCAGATATGTAAACCACCAAAAAAATAAATGTGCTAAACTTGCATTTTAATGTTGACTCACATCCAAAGGTTCACCTTGAATGTGGTTGGGGAGGTGCATGGATGATTAAGATCACAATTCAGTTAACCCCTTCTTCTGTTGTGTTCACTGCAGGTACTTTGTAAAAGCCCTGACACCGGCATTTTTGGTCTGTGTAGGATCCTCTGCTTTTTGTAGGAATTACCTCCAGGGGAGAAAAGTGCACCAGGTGAAGTAACCAAGCCAGGCGGAGCCAGGGCCCCTGGATCTCCTCCCTCATTCGCCTCTGCCTGAAATCCAGCACATTTGAATCAGCTGAGCCCTACACTTTATTTCTGCCACCCTGGGGACAGTGGCGGGGGGAGAGCTGCTGACTTCCCTGAACTACATTCTCTCTGGTGAAAGTGCCAAGCTCCAGCTGGTCTCCAGTCTATTCTGTTGATACACAACTCTGTACCTTGGTCATGACATCCTTGGACTCACTGTGAGCTGTGTTACCACCAGCCTCTATCCCTGAAGGGACCATCTTACAGTCACCACAGCAGCTGACCTGAGGAAGTCCTGGCCTGTGGACACAGACTCAGGATCCAGTTGGCTGGACCTTTATGATGTTAGAGGCCTCAGAGAAGCTACCCCTCAAACCACGCGTATACACAAACCACACAAATAATTTTAAGGCATTCAGGCTGAGGGACTCCAACCTCCAGGTTCTCGTGAGCCGAGAGGCTTGCTCTTTGGGGATACTGTTCTTGGAGTGAGATGAGGTCACGAAAGCTGGCTCTTGTTTTTGCACCTGTAAAGACCTACAAACCGGGATCCTGCAAAACCCCTAGAAAGTTTACCAGTTTTCCTGACCTGTGTAGTAGGGCAAACTGACAGACTTGGATGGTGGACTCTTGAGTTCCTCTCCAGTTTTCACATTTTAGGATTTTGTGCCTTTTGAACCTCTTTTGGCAGTTGAGTCATTGTCATAGGTTGTATTTTTGTGTGCAGCTGTTCGCTCCTCTTTCCTAGAGGGTGTAGCCACGGGACTGCTTGCAGTATCCGCCCCATCCCACGGGGGAGGCAAAGGGACGGGGGTGGGCTCGTCCAGACGGGAGGCCGGAGAGCATTGCGTGGTGCGTTCATGCTTCCCAGCTAGCGGCTGTTCCATCAGCCTGGGTGCCAGCATGGTAAGACATGGAGCAGAGCTGAAGGAGCTGACTGCAGCTGTTGATTGTAACGTGAATGAGAAATAAATGAGATTTGGGGGTTGTTACTGTAGCAAAGCTAAGTAATACATCATTAAACTGAAACCAGCTGCTGTCCTTAAGATGGACTAATTTGAGGTTTTGTGCTGTGTGCTTTACTGTCTTTGAAGGGCAGTTTGCTGTGGAATATTGACAACCACGCAGCTGTCCTTCCAGGTGCGGGTCCCTGCATGTGGCTTGTGGCCTGGAAGCTGAAGTCCCGCCTCCACCCTCGCCTGGCTTAGGCCAGACCGAGGCTCTCCCAGCTAGAGACTGACTGTTTGGCTGTCTTTGTAAGAACTTGGCACTCTATGTACGAGGCCGAACAGTTGGTCAGCAGCAACCCTGGCGGCCAGTGCAGCAGCCTCACTGTCCTGGGGCAGAGCGGGTCCCGGTGTGCCACCTCACTCATCTGTGAAGCAGATGGCTTACTCAGCTCTTTCCTGGACACCCCTGAGAAACCAAGTTCTGAGACCTTCATCCCCACCACCCAGTCCTTCCTTTGGGCTCCTGGCTCGGCCCTGCCCCTCTATCTGGCTAGGGGGAGCAGAAGTAGAAAGGGGAGGAGTGACTTAGCGTGGCAGACTGCAGACCACAGCTGGGACCCTGGTAGCTGCTGACTTGCCGTGCCTGTGAGGACGGACTGCTCGGGGCCTCCCTCTCAATGAGTCACCACACCTACCTGATAGGCTTGTCCATCGCACCTCTGTGCAGATCAGCAGCATCAGACCAACAAGTCTCAACAGGGGTGACTTGCACCCCAGGGCACACCTGTCAATGTCTAGAGACATTTTTGATTGTCACAACTTGGTGGGATGCTACTGGCATCTATGGGTAGAGGCCAGGGATGCTGTTAAATATCCTCGAGTGCACAGGACGGCCCCCACAACACAGCATCGTCTGACAAACTGTTAATAATGCTGAGTTTGAGAAACACTGCACAAAAACTTACAGAAGGAAAGCTCTCAATGGGCAGAGGCCAGATGGGGATTTGTCTTAGTGCCCAGGCCTGACACACAGTGATTGTGACACCTAGGGAGCTGTGTGTGTGCGCTGATGAGTGGATGGATGAATGAACTAATGAATGAAAAAATAAACCAGAGTTCTGTTCCAAGGACCCATCTGCACACACACAAGCATGAGCAATGGCATTCCCGGGCTCAAGCCCGTGTGCCTGCCTTGCACCCTCTCCAAGAAGACTTCTGGCCTCCCTGGCCCATGGGCCCTGCCTTCTCTGACCTCCGCCATCCTCTGGTCTCTAGGGGAGTGGTAGAGCGCAAACTGAGGAGCCGGCCATGGAGGCTAGGACTAGAAATGAAGCCACAACAAGCAAGTCCTCACCCCTGCTGGGAGCCCTCAGTGGCTCCCCCTTCCCTCACCAACATGCTTGGTGTGGCACTCAAGGCCCTTTAGGGTCTAGCCCCTACCCACCCCTGCGGCTTCCTCTCTCCCACCTTAGCCCAGCCATCCCAGACATGGTTCAGCTCTGGGGCAGCAGGGTGCAGTGGCCTGAGTCTCACTCTGGAGCCAGGCTACCTGCCTTCCAATTCCAGCCCCGCAACTCATTAGCTGATGGCCTCAGGCCCTGTGCCTCAGTTTCCTCATGTGCAACACAAAGCATAATAGCACCTCCCTCACACAGGTGCTGTGAGGACTGTATGAATTAATCTATGTGACGCCCATGGAACAGCTTGCCTCAAACTAAGTGCTCACTCTAGGACAATTATTTTTTTATTCTCCAATCATGCCATGCTCTTAGCTTTGGACCTTTGCACATTCTGCTCCCTCTGCCTGGAGCATTCTTACTCTCACTTGCACCCTTGCCTCCACCCCCAACTCTTCCTCCCTTTCCTGTTTAACATCTAGTCCTTAACCAGGCCTGGCTGCCTCCTCCAGGACGCTTTCCCGGCCCCCTATCCCACATGTCCCATGGCACCTGTACCATTACCACACTTGCCACACTGCATTTTAATTGTCTGCTTACTGGATGGTTCCTCCCACTTCTTTGTAAACTGAATCAGGGACCCTGACCTGTGCACATTTGTCCTGCCAGCACCTGGCCCAGCACCTACTCCGCACATAGTAGGTACACAAATAATTACTAACCGATGGCCCAGAGGAAGGGGTGGTGAATTCTCAACAGATTATGGGTGGAAGCCACCACCCATGATGGATATGGGCCATGAAGTTGGGAGAGGGACCTGGGAAGGGTGGTGAGTGTGGGTTGTTAGGACCCCGAAGCAAAGGCAAGGAGCATGTTCCAGGGGGCGTGCATAATGGCCTGGCTCGCTAGTAACAGCTGCCATCTACTGAGCCCTGAGGAGGCGCCAGACCGTGTTCTTGGTGCTTTATGCGGACTGGCTAGCTCACTCCGCCTGACACTTCGAGCAGGCTAGTAGTTTACAGTACCATTTTACTGACAAGGAAAGGGGTACAGAGAGGCTAAGTAACTTGCCCAAAGTTAGCTAGCTAGTGAAAAGCAGAGCCAGGATTTCAATTCATGACTCCCCTAAGCCCCTCAAGAGATACCTGCCAACAATAAGACTGGGCCTCTGCCTTTGAAGAGTTGGCATGAGACCCAGCTGCCCTTGCCTGTTCACTCCAGTGCTGTGGTCAAGTCTTGGCATTCAATGTCATGCAATGTCCCCAAACTGCCTGGGCAGAAGAGTCTAGCCTGCAGAGCCAGACTGCCAGAGCCCGCAGTGGACTCCCCACAGCACTCGACAACCTGCCAGTAGGGCTCCTGTCAGCCCACGAGCTTTCTGGGTGAGCCTGGGTGACAAGTTCTTCCCTTGCAAATGGCGTGTCCTCAGCCACCATTAACCAGTAAGTGCTTCCTCCTCACTCTCCTAGCCCTACAGTTTTATTTAGCCAAGAGCAATTAGGCTTTAACCATGGAAGCTCATTAGCAGCCTTCAGAGCGGCGGGCTTAACAGGAGTGGACATCATCCCTGCACCAAAGTGGTATCTGAACAGGGGGACCCTAAAGATGCCACCCCGTTCTGCTGGCCCACATGCACCCCCCGCCCACGACATGCAAAGGGCTAACTGGCCTAGTGTAAGGGCAGCTGCCACTTACCCTGCTGTGAGCCACTGTTGTCCCTGGTGCACGGAGGGAGCGCAGGAAGCGTGAGGAAGCATCTCGCACAAGGTCAGATAGCTATCAAGTGGCCTAGGCAGTCTGATTCCACAGTGTCTAGTGTGGGTCACTATGAGCTATGTCATTACTTTAAATTAAGTGCAGCATCTTGAGTTTTTTCAAGTTTTAAGTTTGCAATAACATCATAAAAAGTTCACCATTTTCCACATTATAAAACTTTTCCTAACTCTAAAACAAAACCTTACATGCCCTTGGATGCATAGTAATCCATTCTAAAAAGCATTCTGGCATCTTGGTGTAGAAATGGATGGTGGGAACTCTGTAAAGTTCCCTGGCACTCAAATAGTTAAGCAAACGACAGTTTCAACAGATTTCTGCAAGTCTTTACTGATAGCCCAGCAGGTGTTTCTTCCATTAAAACACAGAATACTAATGGAGCCCTTGATTTACATTCCAGGCTTGATTTACACAATGGTTTTGTTATGCACCAGCTTTTGTCCCCAAGTATTAATTCTGCTAAATATTTCCCGGCCAGTTCCTTCTAGATCTCCCCAAGGAATGAGCAATGATAATACATCCTATGTCTGTTATTTTGCCAGCATCCCCATTTCATCGATTTATGGCAAGAGGTAACATTGGCAAATTCGGACAGGAGAGAGTAAGGTACACGGTCTGAGTATCTGTCTTTCCTCTAAGGCGATGGAGCCATTCCATGGGTGTCACTTAATTCTTGCCCGTGGCACTCCCCAGGAAGGTTATAAAGCATCACATCAAGAAAACTAGATCCAGCTCTTGAGATACGTTACCAGCAGATCCTAAGTCGTCTGGAGTGAAGGAAGTGTTTCCTGACAGCACAGGGTTAAGTATTTCACGTAAGCGAGCTTAGGCAACCCCCTGGGAGGTGCACTGCGGTGAGCACATCTTACAGATGAAGCGGAGACGCATGAAGGGCAAGTAATTTGTCTAAGGTCACATCCCTGGTAAGTGGTGGATCTAGGAGTATGTCTCTTCCAGGTTCTGGTCTTTCCACCAGAGCGTACTGCCCCTGGCTTCTTAGAAGACATGCTGGCTTAGTAATCAGGGCACCTGGGTTTCCGTTCAGCTTGCCCTTGAGCCAGTCATGGTACTCCCTGTATTTGTCTCCCTTGGAAAATAAAGGACAGTACCTGTTTCACACCTACAAGGCTTTTGTAGTTCAGAGGCTGATCTAGCCAGACTTCTCAAGAGCGACTGGAGGTAGCCTGATTTAGGGGACACAGCTCGTGGCCTGCAGTCAGGTGTTCTGCCAGTCAGATGGTGTGTGGCAGGTTAATTCCCACCCCAGGCTTGCTTCCCATCTGTGAAAGGAGGGATGGACAGGCGGGCCCCAAGTCCTCCTGTTCTAAACTTCCATGATTCTGTATCGTCCTCAAACTCTTCTGTAACTCGAACATTTATGAAGAGTTTAAAGTTAATTGGTTCTCTATTCCTGAAATCTCGTTTTAAAAAGTGCTTACAGGGGCACCTGGGTGGCTCAGTCGTTAAGCGTCTGCCTTCGGCTCAGGTCATGATCCCAGGGTCCTGGGATCGAGCCCCGCATCGGGCTCCTTTCCCGCTGGGTGGGGAGCCTGCTTCTCCCTCTCCCACTCCCCCTGCTTGTGTTCCTGCTCTCTCTGTGTCTCTCTCTATCAAATAAATCAAATCTTTAAAAAAAAAAAAAAGTGCTTACATTAGGCTAGCCCTCCAACTTCCATAAATCAGCTTACGGAGCACAGATTTAAAGTTAAAAAAAGGTGAGGGGGAGGTACAGGCTTCCAGTTATGGAACGAATAGGACACAGGGATAAAAGGTACAGCACAGGGAATATAGTCAATGGCATGTACTAGTGTATGGTGACAGATGGCGGCTACACTTGTGAGTACAGCGTCAAGTAGTTACTGAGTCACTATAGTGTACGCCTGAAATGAATGGAACCCTGTGTGTCAACTATACTTCAGTTAAGAATTAAATTTTTTAAAA